CACACACACACACACACACACACTGAGTAATGAACACACACACACACACACAGGTTCTTGCTCAAAGGTCTCTCCTCAGTCGTGGTACTGAAGGTAGAAGAGAGCGCTGGTTATTCACTCCCCCCACCGACAATTCCTGCCGGACCTGAGACTCAAACCCACGACCTTCAGGTTGCAAGTCCGACTCTCTAACCATTAGGCCACAACTGCTCCTTAAAAAGATGTTGTGAGATCATAAGTCATATGCACTTGATGTTGAGGATGTTATATTTTATGTAATATATTGCATGACTATCATTCACCAACCACTGTGGCCCAAAAAAAGCTAATTTCCCAGCCTGGAAATGAGTCCTGACCGCAGGACAGAAGATCACAGAGACCTGAGCTGAGCTCTTTGATTTGTGTTTCTGACGCTGTGTTCTGTCTCCCAGCGGAGGCCCAGTCCTTCGACGAGGAGTGGCAGAGAGAGGTGTCCAGCTTCCAGGCGTCTGCGCCCATGTCCCGCCTGGAAGCACCGAGACAGCGAGCGGTTCAGCGAGCGGCCATCACTGCACCACAGCACACTCGCAGGTCAGAGACACCACACAAATCAAGAGTTTATTTGCAAAAACAGATATGTTAACAGATAATGTTATCATGTTTTTATTGTCTTTTATTGTGTTAGTTAGCTGTTTTTTGTAGTTACTTTTTAACCTAATCAAAATAACCCAACTGCAGTTTGATTGAGATGAACTGAAACGCACAATGAAAAAACATGATTTCTGAGAATTGTTAAAAACGGAGTTATCTGCTTTTGCAAATGAACTCTTCAAATATACATTGTCAAATAGATCATTGAATATATTTCAAAACATAAAACACATGTATTTGCTAAAATGTGTTTCAAAATATATTTACATAAATATATTTTCTACCAATGTATTTTTTGTACATTTTTATTCTGTATATTTTTCCAAGAACATTTGAAGAAAAACTTTGTTTGTTGTCTATAACGTTTGTGAACATGTAACACAATTTGAATGAAAATAAATAATGAGTGAAGCCTGAAAGTAGGCTACTATTAGATTGAAAATGTATTATATATTTTGTATATGAAGCATGAAACTAAATATATTTTCAATTTCAAAAATATATTTCAATGAGTTTACAACATGTATTCAGCAAATATTTTAAATATATTTTAGCTCATTGTTATTATTGTTGTTGTGCATGCATAAATAAAAAAATGCCACGCATGCCAAATTGGGAAAACAATATTTTTTGAATGAAATATTTTACATGGGTCCCATTAGATTGTCAGTTTGTAACTAAAGCTGGGAGAAATCGTGATTCATCTGCATCATAGAAAACTCATAACTACATTTGAAAACATTTGAAGGAGAATCTAGATTTGCACTGAAAATGAGATTTGCTCTGTTTAATATGATAATGTCTCGGTTTCTTTACTATTGTGTGTTCACAGAGATGCCAAATCAAACCCATTACAATGAACTCAACATTAAAGGCTCCGGCGAGAAGAAGCACTAAAGCTCATTCACAATAAAACACACTTGACAGGCTTCTTACTGCACTTTCCTCATATCTGCCAATGATTTTCATACGCCTGTTTCACACCACAGACTTGAGCAGCAGCAAAAAAGCTCAATACAGAGAACTTATTTCTAGGTAACTGCGGTGAGTATTTCTTCTAAACTGGTTATCAGTGGTGGGTCACTGATAGCATTAGACCTGGCTGTGGTTAATTGTGCACAATAGACTAATTCCATATCATAACCTGTAGTATACTGTATTGCTTCAAGACACTGGACTACAAACATATGCTTAATCTGTGCACTTTCTGCTTTTCCATGTCAAATCATATTGATTTTATCCATCATCAGTGCACTGTCACTTTAAGTGTGTGTGTGATCAGTGCTTCTATCTTCTGTTAACACGCTCCTGAAACACATAAGCTCAGCTCACGCCTGCGGTGAGAAACAGGCCTTGCATCCGTAACTAAATAATTATTTTCACTGTTCCTATGTTTCAGAATCCTCAGTCTTTGTTTTTTGTCTTCAGATTAGTTTGAATCAAATAAAACAACACAAATGCTGTGAGTTCTGTGATGCAGCCATTCTTAACCCTGGACCTCATCTCAGGTCTCTAGAGTCTCTGCTACTGAGTCAGCTGTGTTTGATTAGGAGACACAGAATATGCAGTGCTCAGATATCCGCTGGAGTATTGAGTACTGTTTCGGGGTTCAGCGCTGCTGTTGCTTTCTGAAGGATCCAGAAACTGTGATGTGTGACGTCTGTAATGCACTTATCGATGTTGTTTATTCTGCAGTAATCACCATAAACCCTCTGCAAACCTTGCTCTGTAAACATTTGCTTAATAAACATTTTTTTTAAATGCATGAAAGTAGACCTTTTTATACAAATGTTTCTCAATTTGTGTTTGAGACACACAACTGTGTGATATTGTCGTCAAGACACACTTCACTGTTTCGCTTTTCAAAAGGTATATAACACATAGTGTCAGAATAAAATAATGTCGCAATCCAAACATTTAATGTTGCAAATAGTAAAGTTTTGGTTTTTGGCGGCCTGTTTTAATTTTAGTTTTAGTCTAGTCTTTGTGTGAAGCTGTCATTTTAGTTTTTATTAGTTTTAGTCACGTTCATACTCTTTTTAGTCTAGTCAAGTTTCAGTCAACTAAAAGTCTGAGCATTTTAGTCTTATTTTAGTCAGAATTATCCATGACTATTTTCGTCTAGTTTTAGTCGACGAAAACTGATGACATTTAGTCTAGTTTTAGTCAATGAAAATGGTATTTTAGTCTCTTTTTAGTAATGCAATTCTATTTAACCCAGTCAATATAGTATAAGTACCTAGTAGTATAGACGAAACCAAAATTTTCTTTTAGCCAAACCCATTTCAAACAAGGTTATCTTATTATATTATTGTTACCTTATAGACTCAAGAATACATCCATTCCAGACACGGAAGACGCTCTGATTTGAATTTACAACATCTATTTTACCAACCAAACATGTTACAAGTACACACACATAAATTTAAATAAAGACGAACCCCGGCTGGCCGGCCATCGGTCCCTTTCTCTGTGTCAGACTTAACTTTGTTTGGTTTTCATCTTCTAAATCAGTGTCTCCCAACCTTTCTTTAGTCGCGGCACCCTTTGGAAATTTTAACAAATTTGTGGCACCATACAAAATTAATTTTGTCACACCTCAATTGTCTCCTGATTTGATTCAGCAACATGAATGATTTGAAGAGCTCATAATATCAGGGCTGTCCAAACCTGTTCCTGGAGAGTTTAGCTCAAACCCTAATTAAACACACCTGAACCAAAGTAATCAAGGCCTGAGTCCGAAATCACCACATACCCCTAAAGAGGACGCTATTTGTGACCCTGGAGCACAAAACCAGTCATATTTGTAGCAATAGCCAAAAATACATTGTATGGGTCAAAATTATAGATTTTTCTTTATATGCAGGTTTTGTGCTCCAGGGTCATCTGTGTCTCAGAAAAGCCCTAAATAAAAAAGGGGGGGATTGTAGTAATGAAGTTTTACGTATGACTGCATTGGGGTCTGAGAGACTCCTGTGATCCCTGGATATGTCCACGGAGTCCGTCCCCTTCACCAGAGATCATTTGCCCAAAGCTTGAGGATCTTGTGCTCCTGCGCTCACATCTTTCATTTCTGCCGCTGCTCTAGAGACCACCACGCTTGACCCAAGTCCAGGTCCATTGATCGTTACAACTGCTTCGATGCAGGGAGGAGCTTTGAAAATATGTTAAAAGTCTTCAGAGGAGCCTTTAATTTTATTTGCCGTCTTATTCAGGACAATTTACCCTCAACTCAACAGGACTCTGTGAACAAAACCCTCGGACAGTCAGTGGATTAACAGCACTGCAGCATCTACAAACATCTGCGAATCAACCCGTGCTCACCTTCACTCAGATTCAGATTCAAGCAGTTCGTGGGCAAGTTAGAAGGCTTTTCATTAACAAAGCATTGGTAACATTCAATGACAGATATAACTGGTTACTCTTGCAGGACTTGCTGGGGTCACTCCTAGCAGATGTGGCTGTCTGTTCTTGTTTGGCATGAGGTTGATGTCTTTTCATGGGTGCACGGTGAAGTGAGGAAAACATCTTTCCCTAATTTGTAAAGAATTGGGACATTGAGAAGTGCAGTTCTGATTCCACTTTGTGCTTCTGCATGCAGCCTTTTGAGCCGCAGTGACAGGAGCCATCTATCACTGAGACCTCATGTGATTCCTGGAGCGGCCCGGACAAGATATGTTGGACCTGAATGCTCATGACGGCAATCTTTGGAGCCTCTGAGGAACAGCTGTGCCTTTGATTGGCGATGACCTCCTCCAGAGGACCTGGTGTGGGACGGTCAGGCTAGAAGAAGGAGGATTCAGCCCCGTCTGATGGTCTAGATGTTATAAATACAGTGAGGGAGAGCACAGTCCAGACTGATGTCCTGCTCCACAGTACAGGATAGAGCGCCACCGTGTGGTCGCTGGGTGTCAGTGCTGTCTCATAATCAGCTCGTTCGGCTTCATTGCTTCACATCGATGCAGTTACAATACAGTTAGGTTTCATTATCAATATTTCAAGCGGATGTCAATGAAATTCGCACTGTTAATCTTTATATAAAAATAGTTATTTCCGTGATCAAGATCGACTGTAATTGGTCCATTTAAATAATGGAAGATATACATATTCTATATTTTTACTGAATAATGTTTTCATTTTTGGGAACTTTTATATTCATAAATGTAAGTGCCTTAAAACAAAACAACATTGTTTTCTGTTTTTTATCTTGTTTTATTTCAATTTAGTGTTGTGCTCTGTTCTTTTGGATCTTCTTAAGATTTTGTACTGCCTTATTGTATTTGTGTTTTCCTGCAAAACAAAAAGAAAAAAGAAAAAAAGGTCCAAGTTGTGATGATTAAAGTATCACGTGGAGGCGCCTTCGCTTCAGGAGCGACAGTAATGTATTAAACACGGTGAGGACTTACAGTTGGAGAATTATTATTTACCCACTGTATTTTATAGAAAACGAGACCATTTTAAGGCGTCTGTTTCATACTAAAAATAGTGCAGCAATAATAATACATACTAATAATAAAAATACAAACATGTGAAATTTAATATGAAGAAATTGAGAAAGTGTAGGGGAAATAATAGAGATGGGAAGAAGTAATACAAAACATGTCGAGCGCAGGTTTCAGCCGCGTCACGCAAATCGTTTGGAATATCATTCGTCTGTTTTGTCCCTCTCGGCTCACCGTAGAACAGGAAGCTGTTTCACAAGCAGCCGCTCGGCGTGACTTTGAGATCGTGTGTGTGACACCAGAGTAAACTAACACACACACACACATCTACAGCAGCTCACAATGCGGCTTCTGAGAGCAGCATCAGTTTTAACTCAACGGCATCTGCACAAGCCGGGACGCGTCACACTGAAACAGGTGTGTGTGTGTTCC